AAATAAATAAATAAGTTACCATTACTCTTTCATCTGTCTCTGCTTTGGATGACTACAAGAGACTTTTTACTGGTCACTTTGCTTTAGTCTTTTCTCAAATCATTCTCCAACCAGAGCCAAAAAAATGTTTCTAGAAGAGAGAGCTGATGAAATGACCTGCCTGTTTAAAATTTTTAATGGGTCCTCATGGTCCTTAGTACAGAGTACAAATTCCTTCCATGAAATATCTTATTTCTTGCCCTGACAACCTTCTACCTTCTATCTCACCACTATTTTCTGTCCTCTAGCTTATCTCATACTTTAGCCACACTATGTTATTTTCTCACTTTTTTGACCTGTACAGATACTATTTCCTCTGCTTCAAATACCATGCTCCACCTTCCTCAGCTGGCAAACTTCGACACATCCTTTTATTTCCTTTTATTTACCTTTCTTGATTCTTCAGCCCCTTTTTATCCTCATCAATTAATTACATAATCCTCTTACCCTGTACTTACATTGTATTATAACTATTTTTTACTAAACTGTCTATTTCACTATATTGTAAGATTCTGAAATGAGAAACTGCATTATTTACCATTGTATCTCTAAAACCTAACCAAATGTCTAGTACATTGTGTACATTCAAATATACACTGAATTCTGACTTTAAAAAAGAGAATGAAGGTAAGTAATATAACAATGAAGCATTCAAGTTGAAATGAATTAAATTAGGTCATGATTCAGATTCACATTTTTTACTTCCTTATCTTTTGAAGCAAATGAGTAGAACATTGGCATTTTTTTTTGAATAAGCAAATTTAAATCAGTTTTGGAAACTTTTAAATTTTAAGATCATCTAAAATTTAAAAATATATATATAATCTGGTCTAAACAGCACCCTCAGGAAATTAAACTAGTTTTAAATTCTGTGAAGTGTTTACTGAAATTTCTAAGAACCATCAGGAAGGCCATTAAAATGAGAACAAAAAGTACAAAAATATGGAATGTACGATTCTGGTTCCTCAGAGGGGAAAAATTGAGAGAGCTGGAGAATATTCAGGACAGTGGGTATATATCAAGCTCAAGGATAGGTAGGGATTCACTTTTTAATCACATTCTAGAAATAAAGAGAACCATTAGCATTTGGATAAAGAAAACTTCAAACAATTTAAAGTACTAAGTTATAAAGAAAGAAAATTTATAGGACTTATTACTCCAAGGTAAAAAAAAAAAAAAGAACAAAGAAAGAAAGAAAAGCAGGGAAAGAACTGACTACCCCTAGGGGCATTCTTGCTGTAAGTTCTGGATGAGGCAATGAGGTAAACTTAATTCAAACACCGATAAGGGCACTCTGAAACATCATGCTTCCACATTTGACCAATGTGTTCAGAATGTGTTTCATGCAGTCTAGGATTTCGCTCACATTACTCCTTAGTAGATTTTGTCTATATTTACCCTTAAATGAATCAGAAATGATAAGAAAATAAATAGTTATTTAATAATCAGAATGTTTCTTAAACCAAATTTTAAAAAAAGAAACTGTCCTTCTTGTGTATGTTAGTCTGCTTTTGTCTTTATCACTAAACTTAACATTTGTGGCCAAGCTGAGCTACTAAATCATACAGGTAGATTTAAAGGTAGCCCACAGTCTGGGACAAATCCTGGATCCTGGCCAGGGGCTATGTCACTGTCTCACTGGCTAAAGACAGGACAATGATTTGTCACAGTACTGGTTCCACAAGGCCCTGCATGTCCACAGCTCTCCAGATACCAGGTATAGCTATTACAGCGGAATAAGAGTGTTTATACATTGTATTCTAGTTTTTCAGTATTCAAAATTCTCTTGGCCATCTGAAGCTAAGTTGCTTAGACCTTACATAGGCCTTCCTAAAGGCTGGAGGACAATTTGATCACCTGGGACACCTTAGATGCCTTACAGTTCATAAGTTTTACACACTTTAAAATCATTAATATTTAAAATTTAAAACACTATAGAAAAATGTATATTTAAAAATGCAATACTTAATAATATTTTGCCCTTTAGATTTTTATTATCTATGTTCTTTCCTTTTATTTTTATGTGTAAATATATGCTATGTTTTTACACTGGAGTTTAATTTATGATCCAGTTTTTTGAATAAAAAACATGCGTTGAATGTAGACAATCTGATACAATTTTTCATTGCCAATGTTAAGTTAACATTTGACAGATAATATTTTTCTCACTGATAAAATAATATATTTTCTATGATAACTATGTGATTTAGAAAAATCTACAAGTTTTATTTGCTGCAGTAACTAATTTCCAGTTTCTTAATTAAAAATCATGCCTCTTGAAATCCTTTTCAGAAGGAACCCATTATAAAACTTTTTGAATTGCCCCTGAAAATCATAAATGGGTGATTCTTTTACTACTGGCATTAAAAGTGAGACTACTTGAATTTTTAAAATACCTACTTAGCATTTATTGTTTAAAATATTAATGCAAACTATATTCCTGGAGTTTCTCAAATTTATTCTTAATAGATATATAAATTTACTTATAATTACATTTGCAAATTCTGATACAATGTTTATACAGGCCTGCTATTTGAAAAAGTTCAAAATTCACCTTTTTCTACTGCTCAGAAATAATATTTATGCCTACAGACAGAAAATTTCATAATTTTTAAATATACCATTTACATTTAATAGATGTATTTGAGATTCCTATTAAACTGGTAAAGAAATGAGTCCACAGCTATACATCAACCATAAGTCTATTCATTCAGCACTTTATATATTCCGCTCAATGAATGAAAATTATAGCACTCTGAATTTTTTACCAATAAAAGCTTCATCATAAAAGAGGTTTAGAAATACAGTGCAAATATTTATATAAAAGACATGACTTTAGAAATGGATAATGAATAATACTGTTTAGATGATCTATTCCCAAGACCTTTTTAAAGAAAAGGAAAAAAAAAAATTCAGATAGATTTAGGTTATACATAATCCAATCTGTTAGTTTTCTAACTTAGGAGCAAAAACAATTGAAAGCCTTATTGAAAGCCTTATTTTTAAATGACTGAAGTAACCCTAGGATACTATTATCATTTTACATTGACACATACTTTATAAAAGCTTTAAGGAAAACTAAAAATAATTTTATTACAGAGCTCTTGATAATGTGCTCTAGATTGTTCTTTAACAATGGGAGACACTAAATTTATGTGTACTTTTACTTGCATCCCCTACCCTGACTTCCTAAACTCTCATTTACTCTGAAATTTGCATAATGTTTTTCACCTTACAAAAAGTTATAAAGTATAATCATTAAATTTCAGAAAACGTAGGCAGCAGTATTAAATACCCACCATTGTGGCTGGGCATAGCCAAGAGAGAATCTCTGTCTTCACAATATTATAAATTATGTCCAAAGAAAAATAACGTACATACATGTATACACACACACACACACACACACACACACACATCACACATACATACACACACACACACACGCTTCACTTTTAGCCAATGAGAATGAAGTTAAGTTTGACTTTAGGACACTATCTTTCTTTTCTGTGAATCTTTTCCCCTACAAGGGGCCTCTTTCAATAACTATGCTTTGTACATAATCTTTTCTGTTTGAAAGGTGCTTTCTTGAAAGGATCTGATATACTAAATTATTTAACATGTAAATAATGGGTAAGAGTTTTATCACCACTTGTAGAAGAGAGGTGTTTAGTTGTGTTTTGAACAAGGGACAGATCCTTTTAAAACAAACTGATCGCTAATTATAGAATTCTTTCAGGAATCTGTGAACAGGTGAGGGAGATATTTTGAAGGAAATAGATTTACTTTTCTAATAAAAGTTGGATGCCATTTACAAACACTGTGCAAGGCAGCAGGGTGAAATTACATCACATAAGCAATCACCTATACTTGTGTACAGGGCTGGCCATAAATCCTGACACAATAAATTTACTGGGGTCACTTCTATTTTATCTTGTCTTATACTAAAATGTAATGGGTTCGGGGACTTAATATAAGCAGCTATCTGAAGACAATACTTAAAAAAAAATATTCCTACATAAATTCAGACAGTGAAAATAAAAAGTAAAGGACTGTGTTGCTTAGCCTACTTTAGGAGCAATATAGTGAAGATTAGATAATATCATGAGACAGGAGAGAGAGACAGACAGTAGAGAAAGAGCTACGATTGGAAGTTATTTTTTTAAAATCTCACTAGTGTCTTAATGTAATAATGTTCTTTGCCTGGATGCCTAGATGAAGTACAGCAAAAAGCTGATAACATTGGGTTCAGTGTTTTCCCAATTAAACCACACAATGCTAAGTAAAAAGCAAACTGTGATAAAAATTAATATATTGACTATTTGTTGAAATAAATTGAATCTTATTACTTTAGGTATATGGAATGAATTCACGTTTGTACTTCAAATATGAAATCATAGGCATATTATTTTAATATTTTCTGAAATTGGACATCATGAAAAAGACCAATACAATCACTTCTTGTCTAAAAATGTTAATCCTTTGAAACTTTAGAACACTTTTTCTAATTTTCTAGAAACTTCTTGGTTAAAGGAAGAAAGAAGAGCAATATCAAGGATCAATGCTGTTGATTAAATGGGCTGATAAAATAATTTCTCTCAGTAACTAGAAAATATATTGCAACCCAAATCATACACTTGTATTTAGAGGGTAAACTCTCAAGGTTTTAACTTTTGATGTAGCCCATCAGTAGGACATAAAAACATTTATATAGTCTAAGGAAGCCTTTATTCTTATTTTTAGCATGATACATGGAGATGAATGTTATGAGTTATTAAAACTTTTTAAAACACCAAATGACACCACAAAGCAACTTCACACTTTTGCATTAGTTACTGCAGTAGCTATATATTTCAAAAAGTAACCTATATGACAAATTGCATACAAGTAACTGTCTGATGATCTGGTGTGTACATAATTCAATTCGTCAATAGTTAAATTTAATGAAGAAGCTAACTTACCGGTGGATCAGCCCCCTTAGAACCAGTCAGACTTCCTGTTAGGGATTCGATATCCTGAAAAGGGGAGAGGTGTTGATTGTAAAATGCTACTCAATGGCATGGAGAATTTCCCAGTCCCACAGTGTAATATTTTCTTTAAGCTACAAACTTAGGGTACTCAGCTGTATTTGTTTTGTTTTGTTTTTAAACAATCTTGCTACACAAATGCTATACAACTAGCCTATATCTAAAAATTTGGATATTTTCTCAAACTCTGTACAATCTGTAAAAAGAAAAAATATAAATAGACTAATTATTCCTGAAATATGCAAGAAAATAGCTCTAGGTGGGAGAGCAGATGTTTTGTTCTCTAAGAAGCTGAAGTGAGGGCAGAAAAGAAAAACGAAAATTTAATAAAACCACAATTTAACATATTATTAGCAAGAATATTTATCACATGGAAAAGGCTGAACTCAGAAAAATTTTCAATTAGCTATAATCCACTCTGTTACTATATATAGAAAATGAAAATATATGCAGATACATAGATTAGCTATTTTATGAGGATCGATTTCTAATCTTGAATCAGTAACCACAGAAGATCATGCCTGAGTACTGATTATAATTGTCAAAGGTATCATAAATGAGGAAATGGGTGATGCTTGACAGCATGCCCTGTTTACAGGGACAACTACAGCTCAGCACATGCCCTGTTTACAGGGACAACTACAGCTCAGTCTGATTGGCTGTAGGCTTTGGTTCATACTAATCATATGACTTCTTCAAAAGAACCTAGAACTCCAGATTTTTGAGCAAAATCTCTCAGGATTTTAATGTTTACAACTGTCTTAATTTTTAAATCATTCTCCCACAACCCCCAAATGAAAAAACAAAACCAGTTTTCTCAAAGGCTGCTGGATAGGAGTTTAGGGCTACAATGAAGAGTTATACTTTTTGCTAAAAAGTTTCTTTCTTGTGACCCTGGTCACTTCTTATCAGTTTGGATCTCACTGTTCCCCAGGTTGAGGAACCTGGGGAAACATAGTTGCAGTAAGAAATCAAATATGGAAGATAACTGAGTAAAGATAGAAGGAAAATAAAATTAGATACCTATGATCAAAGAAGCAGCCAATGATACCTTGATATCATTAAGAAGATTTGTGCCAGCTCACTTGGGACTTAATCTCATCATTTTCCTGATATCTCAAAAATGGGGAATCTTAACAATAAATATGGGGCTGAAATGAGCATATTAAAGGCAAGGCAGGGGAGAAGGTAGAGATGGTGTGATTAAAGTTTCCATTTGAAGAAGCTGACTTTGAATGGAAAGTCAATGGGTGATGAAGTTCTACATGAATTTTTCATTAGGGCCACAAATGGTAAGAAAATCACAAGGGATACTTGGCAAGAAAATTATTAAGTTGTCTTCTCTATAAAGGATATATTGTATATGATACTTTTCCCTATCCAGCATCCCATTGAGGAACTTCTCCTCCTTCTCCACCCTACTCTCCATTCTAGCTCCAAAATTGGCTTACAAAAATTGCTTCAAATGTTGTAGGAGCCTGATGGAAAATTAAGGCAATTTATATTCTGGACGATATAATGTTAGAGTCTAAATCCTCGATTCTACCATTTGAGCAATGTTTCAAACTAGGTGTTCTCTTTGCCTTCAACTAAAATAGTTCCTGGCTCTCAAAATCTAAAAGAATCCTAATTAATACGTCTGCATCATTGTTTATTTTTTAAAGGCTCTCCCTCTCCACCCTGTCGAAATTCTTTATTCCAACACAATGCACACCATAAACAACCAAATGACCTAAATTATTTGCTCTGACATGTTCTTAAATATTCTTGTTGTCATCTGAGTAAATTGTATCTTTATATAGTAAAAGTAAAGCATAAAACATAAATTGGCAAACAAAATTAATATCTTTTTAATCTGAAAATAAAATATAATTTAAAAAATTGTTTTAGAATTCATGAGATGAATGAACAGATAAGATTTGGTAGTAAAATGGTTAAAACAGTATGTTAAAAGAAAACAAAATACATAGACCATTTTCCTGTTATGATAATGACAAAAAACAAAGTTATATTTATATGAAAGTTTTATTCCAAGTACCTTCCATTCTTCATAGAAAGGCATATAAATTATATTAACAATAGAATTTCTGATGATGTTACCAGAGAGGTAATAGAGAAATTGATTCAGATAAAAAGTATTTTAGCAATTAGGTGATGCATTTCATCAAATTGTTAAAAATTCTATCATGAAGACTTCTTGCTATCATATATAAATTGGGCCAATTTTCAGATTTCTAAAATTTTAAACTTTTCACAATTTCATGGTCTTGAGATAAATAAAGCAAAAGTAGAATTTAGAAAATGAATAGAAGTGGCATTGATATTTGTTTTTTAACATGTTGAATTAAAGCAAATTATGAACTCATGGTTCTACATAGTACTGATGTACTTTTTATTCCATTTATTTGTTTAACTGAAAAATAATTTTTTAAGTTTGTGTTCTATTTTGAGTGTAAGTTTAAAAAGAGTGGATAGATACACAAGTTAAACAAGGCTTATTTCTCATTTAGTGTAAAAAAGAAAAATTTCAGGTATGAATATGAGGAATGTGCATGAATGTATTTATGTGGTAAAATTAGTAGATGAAATGAATTCTTTGAGAAACTCTGAACATAATTAAAAGTAAGTTAATCTCTTTGATGGTTATTGAATATTTTATCTGCAAAATATAATTGAAATCCTTGATAAATGTGTCTACCTTGTTATTTAAATGTCTTTATAAAGATAACAGCAAAAGGGGACATCAAAAAGTAAACATATTGAAAAATCTTTGACTAAATTCTGTAATAATATTTGTTTGATTAAAAAATTTAAAACAAATTGATTTTTACTGTTACAGAATTTATTTAACTCTATTGTACATCATGTTCATTTAGATTTAATAGCTATTAAAATAACTAGTACTTACTGAACATTTACCGGATGCCAGGCATTCATTAAATGCTTTATACACATTATAAACAGACTTATAAGGTAGTTATAGTAGCCTTAAAAGTCGGTTATTTCTTTTCTGATGTAACAGGTTAAAAGTTTATAAAACTTACCCAATATCACACAGCTATCAGAAGTAGGGTTATAAAACATATTTTTTGTATGACTCCAAACCTGTGTTTTTAATACCAGTTATAAAGACAGCTTCTCCCTGGCATCCTGGGGACCTTGCATATATCCACACAGGCCATTAGATAAGGCTAACCCATAGGCTGGCCTAAGTCTTAGTGGAATGTCCTGTGAATCTTCCAAGAACATCACGAGGCCGGCTATCTTATGAAGAACTTCCACATGGCTGCTTATCATTCTCCACCGGGCACCAATGAGGTATGGAACTTTCTACCCCACTCCTCCCCATCCCAGATCCACCTGCAAGCTATAAGCTGCTTAGGTGCAATGTGGAATTGTCTGCTGTCAACAGAGCAGCCTACCACTCTTATTGTCTATCATCTGACCCATCCAAGTTGTCCTGTGCGACTAGGGACCAGGGCCAGAACTAGAATGAGGCAAGTAATATGTTGAGAGTACCAGTTTTAAGGAGGCACTTATTCTAAGGGTGATACAAGTGCTGACCCTATACTTGCAGGACCCCAAGAGTAAATGCCTCCTTAAATTTTGTGCCCCAGCAACCTCATTCAACCTCAAGAACAGGGTGGGCAGTTGTATGATCCGGGGAGTGAGTGACTCCTTAAACTTTGTGCCCCAAGCACTTTACTTGTCTCACCCTAGTCCTGGCCCTTCTAGAGATGTGGAGAGCTGACACCACAGTGACTTTGTTTGCTGTATATGTAATAAATTCTTTAAATGCATCTGGACTCATTGTCTCCTTCCCAGTGGAATCTGTGGCAAGCCAACCTAGTACCTGCCTGTGTGCTGCTGCTCAAGGACTGCTTGCTGCCTGATACCAGTATTACATAGCCTCCATTATATGGGTTGTTATCATCCACACAGAATAAAACAAACTAGGATCTATTAATTATATAATCAATTTTATTTCTCGAAGAGAAATTTCAAGCAATGAAAGCTTCACTTCCTTTTCTAAGGTGTCAGTTACCTAAGTGTGGTTATACAAACTATGTAGAGCTGGTCTCTTAGTATTAGAAAGCTCTGTGTTCCTGGAATGGAAACCTGGTAATCCAAGGCTGAACCATGAATCAGAAGTCTTAAAGCTTAAAAAGGTTGATCTGTGGGTGGAGTGAGGCAATCGGCATCAGAGCTCTAAGTACAGTGAGACTTGAGGGCATCCTGGAGCATGGGTATCACCTCAGCACAGGTTTAAAACAATTCTACATTGTGCTGCACTGATGCTGTTGGTTTCTCAATTGCATCCCCCTCCCCATAGTCTCAGGTTCCAGAGTCAACATATTTTTCTCCTTGACAGACAATTAGAATAATGGAGCTATAGGGATTGTGTAGTTTTCAGTGCAAGTCATTACGTTCAGATGCTCTAAGCCCTGCTTCCTCTGTGTGGAGGTGGGAAAAAAGGAAAAGATTGGGATTTGAGGTCTTCTTTAGAGTTTCTGCTGAATCCGTATTTTTGTCCCGTAAGATTAGCCAGTTATGATCAAGAAAAAGCTATTAAAGTAGTTTGGGTGTAAAATATATTAAAAATAAAGAATAAAAATTCTAAACAGTTAATTGAATCTAACATTGAACATGCCATAAGACCCAGAACATCTCAAAATCTGATCCTTGCATTTAATGTTAAATTTTCAAGTATTACTCTTCCAAAAAGTTACTTTATATAACATAAAAACATTTAAAACATCACAATATTATAACCAGCTATGAGTATTTTAAAATTTGATTTATGCATATTTATAATTTGGGACTATTTTAGAAATTCTTTGGGGGCAAAGTGATTATATTTCAAAATAGAGTACAATTTAGTACATTAAAAACCTACCAAAAATGTATCAGTACAGTGAAATCAATACAATATTGTAAAATATCAACAATTTTTATTGAATGATTGTATTTAAAATTTGTTTCAAGGT